GTCTTCGTTACAGACCACTACTACTGCGCATTTTCCTACGTTCGCCGACAGTCTCCATTTTCGGGTGTATCCAACCGCCGCATCTATTTGTTCTTGCAACCCTTCTGGTGTTTCGGATACCCCCACGAAATCATCTGCAAACATCAGTCCGGACACACTCTTTCCCCCTACTTGGACTCCCTGTCTTACTGCTTCAACCGCCCTTATCAAATCGTTGATGTAAATCTTAAAAAGAGTGGGTGACATCGTACAGCCCTGTGCGACTCCTTGGAGTATATCCACGTACTTCGAAATTTCCCCATCCAACATCACCACACTTCTTGTGCATTCTGTCATCTTTTTCAACATCCTCCACATTTTCCCCCGGGTGCCGATGTCCCACATCTTTTTCCACAATCCATTGCGCCATACGGTGTCGTAGGCTTTTTGTACATCAAGGAAGAAACAGTATGTCGTACGCCCGCGTCTTTCGTACCTTGGATAATTTTACTCAACGTATATACATGGTCTACACAACTACAATCTGGTCTAAATCCAGCTTGTCCTTCGCTGATCTTTTGTTTCCCCTCCAACATGTCTCCCATTCTATTGTCTATCATCTTGCCAAACAGTTTCCCCACTGTGCTCAGCAGGGTTATCCCTCTATAATTCCCCGGGTCAGCTTTATCCCCCTTTTTGAACAGGTTCACGACTACTCCTTCTCTCCATCTCTTCGGCGCGTACTCGTGTTTCCTTATCCAGTTGAATATCCGGACCAACATGTCAATCATCCCCTCCCCCCCCTGTTTCAAAAGCTCGTTCACAATTCCATCAGCCCCTGCCGCTTTTCTATTCTTGAGTTTCGCTACGCAGTCCTCTACCTCTTCTCGTTTGAACTCTCCCTGCAACCCGTCTACATCACTACTTTCCCTCCGAGATCTTTCAACGTTTTCCTCTGCCCACGAGTTGATTTCCTTCTCAAACTCCGAGTCGAAGTTGTCGTTGGTGGTGGGTGTCCCAAGTTTGCGGTAGTGTTCTACTGGTACTTCCCTCTTTCCTTTAGAACTGCTTACCATCTTACCCTCGGCAGATCGTAAGTGTCGTTATTCCCGTGTCTCCCCCTCTCTTCTTGCCCACTAACCCTTGAATTCCTACCCACATTTGCTTCATGCCCCCCTCCTTGGGGGGGGGGGGGGGTACTCTTATGTTGCATGCCTCGCGGTTAGACCATTGACCACGCGTCCTCGAGAGGACGGAACATTGTTCCCACAGGACCGATCACCGATGGCCAATCGTTCCTTTCTACGTTGCCAAAGGTGGCTCAAAAATGTCTCCCCTAGTCTATCTATCCTAACGATATCACTTCCCGCCCTTTCAAACCACTTCCTATTCCCCAGTACAGCTACCGTCTTCTCTCTATTCCATGCCTCAAGGCCCGATGAAATGATTTGCCATCTTGCCTCGAGTAGATCGCCTTTTGGGAACTCCGGTTGCGGTTCGCTCAACTCCGGTTTAGATTAAATGATTTTTTATTTAGTCTAAAAAAGAGTCCGCTCATTCTGACCCGGAGTTAGCTTACTGGATTTGCAGGTGAAAACAAAACAAGAATATGGTATTTTCATCATTTCACCCAATTAAACCGAGGGTTCTGTGGATCTTTCTGTTCTAACTCCGTGTCCGGGCGTGAATTCCGGGCGCACAAAAGCGGTTAAGACCCAGCCTTAGATGGGTCTCTGGTTTCCACCAGGCGTTGCAAACGCGGAATTTCAGTTAAACTCAACGTCAAATATTAATGTTTGTCGATCAAGAGATCCTCCACAGCCCAACGCTGCTGTACAGCACACTACGGGCACGACACGACTGCTCATCCCAGTTCCAAGCAAACAAGGGTGTCCGATAGTGTGCCGGTCCACCGGGAGAAGAATTAATATATTTGATAAACCCGATGTTACACAGAGAAAACATGTTGTCGAGGGAGCCGACAAACATAAAATGTAACCGCCGAAACGCGACGGAATACATACATACGCAGCCTCCGCGGGCAAGTGACAGAGGTGTGCCACGACCCTGTCGTTGGCAGGCTGATCCCGGCCTCGAAGTGGGTAATCCCGTTGTAGATTGGAATTCGATGGCAAGTAGGCAACTACAT